CGGTTTTCAGTTTCAGTATTATTTTCAGTTAAAATTCCGGGTCAAGTTCAGTTCAGTTAATTAATATCAGTTCAGTTTCGTACTTAGCCGGTTTCAGTTATACCGAATAAGTTTGAATATTATGTCAGGTTCAGTAGAGCATCTTAACATAAATAATCAGTTAAATTATCAGGCTGAGCATAGTCAATAGTAATTGTTTATATTATTTTCAGTCTGATCAGGCATCAGCACTACCTTCAGTTTCAGCAGTTCAGGTGGGGACTCAGACTAAGTACTACATTGTTTATAATTACGCTACCATGTTCGGAGTATGTATATTCAGTATCCGCTCAGAATGGTTGACTGTCCATTCTGGGTTCTAGTGGCCTAATCTAACCACTAGAGTGTGCACATGGTCCGGTATTAGTTTGTGCCGGGAGATTGCGGTATTAGTTTGTGCCGACAGATTTCAGTTATCAGTTACGTGACTTATGTCGCAAGATCAGACCGGTATCAGATATCAGTTTCAGTTTTAGTTCAGTTATATATGCTTAGTTCATGATATTGTTATTATTTACGATGTTTACATTAGTATGAGTTTCTGCTGAGCACAAGTGTTTTAGTGCTCACACCCCACACTTTTCATGTTTTTCAGGTCGCAGGGTCGAAGACGAGGAGTGAGCGGGCGGGCTGTTCAGAACTTTTGTGATTATATGTATATATATGTTTTTGCCACACGACTTCCGCTAAAACTTTCAGTACTTATTATTAGTTTTTGTTCCGACGTTATCGGTTAAGACGTTATAACCGTTTTTAATTATCTTTTAAAATTTAATGGTTTTCAGAAAAATTAAGTTTTTCACGGTAGCATTTCGAATCAGTTTTCGCAAAATGAGTATTTTATTTATTTATTCAGAAAATTGCGAAAAATTGCGTACTCTGATAGTATTAAAAAGTCGGGATGTTACAATTGGTATCAGAGCACGTTTTTGCGTCTCTGAAAAGTTTTTCAGTCAGAAATTTTCAGAAAAACCTGAACCATCACGCTCACGCCTCGCCGACTCCAGGTAAGTGCTGATTCAGTTTTCAGTTATAAACATATTACTCTGTCTATGCTCAGAAATCAGTAATCAGACTTAGTTAAGATGCTCGATTCAGGTTCAGACTTTAGAGTTCAGATATAACTCTAGAATTCAGTACATTCAGACTTGACTTTAGAGATCAGTATACTCAGACATGACTCTAGACTTTAGTATCTTTTGATATAACTCTAGAGATTCTCAGGTTTCACGTCAGTATTTATCGGCCATTTTTGCCTTCTCGTCAAGAGATTTGTGTGCCTCAGTAATCAGTCAGAATATCATCACGTGTTCAATAATTTTGAACTTTCTCAATGTTCAGATGCCGCCACATAGGGAACCCGACCATCCGGCTCCTACTCAGGCTACAGTGGTCACGCAGTTCCGCGACTATCATGCCGAAAAGTTCTCAGGGCAGAAAGATCCTCGCATAGTTGACGAGTGGATTCAGGGCCTGGAGTTTATCTTCGAGGTCATGGAGTGCCCTGAGAGATATCGCGTCATTTGCGCTCAGCTTCAGCTCACCGGTGATGCTAGGCTCTGGTGGAACGCTTACTGGAGCATGCGTCCCGGCGAAAAGGCGGGTTGTACGTGGGAGATGTTCAAGGAGTTAATCCGCGAGAAGTACTACCCCACATACTACCGAGCCGAGATGGAGCGTCAGTTTCTATCGCTCCAGCAGGGTACTCGTACTGTTGACGAGTATGAGAGGGAATTCACGAGACTTGCAGCTTTTGTTCCTGATTTGGTCTGCACGGAGGCCCAGCGAGCGCAGCGTTTCATTGACGGGCTTTACCCAGCAGTCCGTCATAACATCGTAGGCCACGGGACACAGACGTACGCATGTGCAGTCTCCATTGCCCAGGAGGTGGATGCCAGCATTAGGAGGGAGGCCGTTCGTGATAAGTTCCAGCCATCCGCCCCTGCCCAGTCGTCTTCAGTTCCACCGTTGCCAGCCTTACCTTCTACCCAGCCGCCAAAGAACAACAAGAGGAGGGGAAAAGGTGCCCCGGCAGATAAGAGGACCCGACGGAGGCTACAGCAGATTCCCCAGTGCCCAACATGCGGACGACTTCACCGAGGCGAGTGTCGCTTTGGTCAGGATGTGTGCTACTATTGTCATGAGCCCGGACATTTCGCGAACCATTGTCCGAAGAAGGCGCAGCAGCCTCAGCAGCCTCAGCAGCCACCGTAGCAGCAGCAGCCCCGTCAGTAGGCACAAAGGCAGCCTCAGCAGCAGCAGCAGAGGGGCAGACAGCAGGCCCGAGTTTATGTCGTCGATCAGGCAGAGGCCGAGCAGCAGCCAGGTACCATGTCCGGAATGGTTATTCTTAATAATGTTTCTGTGTTTGCTTTATTCGATACTGGAGCGACACATACTTTCATTTCACGATGATGTCTTGACGCCATCGGAGTTCGCGCCACTACCGCTATCAATCCTCTCGAGGTGAGTTTAGCCTCGGGACAAAAGATAGTTACTTCAGCTAAAGCTTCAGATCTTAGACTTTCCATCGGTGGCTGAGTTTTGTTTACCGACGCGTTTGTTCTCGAGATGAGGGACTTCGACCTTATTCTCGGAATGGATTGGCTATCCTTTTATCATGCGGATATCAGATGTCATGACTGGGAGATTACGCTTTATCTTCCGGGAGACGAGTCGATTACTTTCTTCGGCTCCAGAAATCGTTCTTTGCCTCATGTTGTTTCAATGGCGAAAGCCACTAAGTTGCTACGACGAGGCAACTGCCAGGGTTATCTGGTGAGCCTTGTCGACGATTCTCAGAGAGCACGTTCACCTCACGATGTTCCAGTCGTTCGAGAGTTTGTGGACGTATTCCCAGACGAGCTTCCAGGAGGACCGCCTAACCGGCAGGTGGAGTTCTCTATTGATCTCATTCTAGGAGCCGGTCCAGTGTCCAAAGCCCCATACCGTATGGCGCCTAAGGAGTTGCAGGAGCTTAAGGCACTGATTCAGGAGCTATTACGACTCGGTTTTATCCGACCGAGCGTGTCACCTTGGGGAGCACCCATTCTCTTTGTTAAGAAGAAGGACAGATCCTTGCGCATGTGTATCGACTACTGGGATCTTAACCGGTTGACAATCAAGAACAAGTACACGCTTCCCAGGATCGACGACTTATTTGATCAGCTGAGGGGAGCCTGTGTGTTCTCAAAGATTGATTTACGATCAGGCTACCACCAGCTGAAGATTAAAGAGTCAGATATTGCGAAGACCGCTTTCAGGACTCGTTACGGCCATTACGAGTTCGTCGTCATGCCATTCGGTCTCAGCAATGCGCCAGCAGTTTTCATGGACCTCATGAATCGTATCTTCCATCCCTACCTCGATCAGTTTGTTATTGTCTTTATTGAAGATATTCTTATTACTCGAAGAGCCAGAAGGAGCACGAGGAGCATCTGAGGGTGGTTCTTGAAACCCT